AAGTATAAAATCATTAATGAAGGTGATTCAATAACTTTTCTTGCTATTTGAGGTAGGATTAATTGATCTACATAACTCAGCATGAACTAATTGAAGAATGTAAGAGGCTCTGCATGTGCTTTCTTTTGGGAATAAATTTCTTTATTGCTTTCCCACCAAACAACTTTCACAAACTTCCATAAGAGCTTTGAGCTGTGGTAGCCCTTGCACCATTTTCTTCCGTTGAATGACCTTTAGACCATCCAACTCAGGTGCCCATAACGACGAACCAAAGTTGAGATTAATCTACAGTGAGAGAGTTAAGGCATCTTTGCTCATTTGTCAATGATTGAGCAAACAGTATGAACATTCTATTGGAGGACATTTCAGTTTCCATGATTATTTAAACCCTTCTCAAGATGATAAAGTTTACATACATGTTGCATAAGTACGGCCAGACCCTTCTCTTGCAACTGCCCAATGCTCAGTAAATTGTTCTTCAATTTTGGTACATAGAATACCCTAAGGATCACCTGCATGATTCCATTTGCTTCCATACGAACATTTCTTTTCCCTGGCATAACTAAGCTTGAGTTGTTTCCTAATTTCACGAATTCTCTAAAAGTTTTTATCGATCTAGAAAAGAACTCCTTCTTGACATACATGTGATTGTTTCATCCTGAATCTAGTTCATCACTTCTAACTTTCTTAACATCCACATAAGCCATCAACATCTCTGTACTTGTGTATGCGTACTGGACCTTTGGTCATTTCATTTCTTTACGCACGCCTACTGAAAATGACTCAGTTCGTGACAATTATAACATTCATAGGTAGATTGATCAAGTCCATATCTAACATGTCCTCTTCCTTGTCCGTTGAAAGCACTGCGACCCCCACCTCTTCATCTTGGTTAAGCTTCATGAGTTACCTTTAGTGCTTATTAATCCATAACATCCTGCTCATCTTTTGATGCACCAACAAATGGCTTTGTTATTCATTCATGGACATGGTGTCCATATTGTTTGACTCCTCAATGGAGCACACAACATAATCATATTTTGGAGTCCTGGATTCTAGAATTTTCTCAATGACAACCACATCGCTCATCTTTTCTCTATGAACTCTCATCTTGTTTTCTATGGTGAGAGTGCGTCCAAAGTAGTGATTCATGAATTCTCCTACCTTTATGTGAAGTACCTTAAACTCTTTGCGAAAAGCTAGCAATTGTGGACGCTTGACTTGTGTCGTGCCTTGATACTTCTACTTCAGGGAGCCCAAATATCGTTCACATTGTCTTTTTTAAGTTTGTCTTCAGAACTCATCGATCAATGGCTTGAAACAGGTAGTTTTAAGTCTTCAAATCTTCCAACTTTTGATCATTAATTGCCTTCCTCTGTGCATTAGTAAGATCCATTCTTTATGATGCTGCAAGAATCCGGATTTCCACCAAGCTCCAATACTCCTTGTGTAAAAAATTCTCCATCAGCATGCTCCAGTGGTCATAGTGTCTATCAACTTTTGGGATTGCAAGTTGCACAAAGCTACTTTCAATAGTTAAGTCGTTGCTGCTTCATGCTGAACTAGCTAGTGTTTTAGGCTTTGATCAAAACCCAGTGATGGGCTCTAATGTAACAACCCGTCCTGATTTTATCAAAATGAAGGGGGTATTTTCGTGAAAGTTTACCTTAGGCTAATCTTTTTCTTTTAAAATTGGTATTTGGGTCTTAATTGGTGAGTCCAAGGGGCCCACCTCCTGATTTGTCCCCCAATTCCCTTCCCCTTTTCTTTCCTTCTCTGATTTTTATAACTCTTTCTCTCTCTCATCTCTTCTCTCCCTGTAACCTCATATTTCTCTCCCTCTTCTACTGCTTTTCTTCACTCCCCTATGTGACTTCCGAACCTTTCTCCCTCTGTGATTTTTCCCTCTCTTCTCAAGTTTGTCACTCACATAAGCAACAACAACCCCAAACCAACACCACTAAACGTAAGAACCTCGGGAAAACTCAAGCAAAGCTTCGTGGAACCCCAACAGCGACGGTGTCACTGTTCATCGTCTTCTCCGATGTGTTTCGTATTTTTTCGACATTGGTAAGCTTCTAGAAACCTTTGGGTTGTGTTTTAGGGTTAGATCGAAGGTTGTCTTAAGTGGTGTATATGTGTGAATCGCAGAAAATAGCTCAGAGTAGCTTTTCTAAATTTTCCGGCAAGCACCGCCCCTTTCGAGGCAAGTTCCGGCCAAACCACGGTGACTTGGCCAGCTTGCAAGGTATCAATCTCTTCTTCTCGCTGAGTACTACAACTTTCCTTTTTGTTTCACCCAATTTCGTTGAGTATTGAAGAAGTTATATCCATTTGAATCTTAACCAGTTTCTGACGACCTCCGCGGCTTTTGAGGAATTTTCAGGCCAAACCACGATGAGTTAGATGTCATGCGAGGTACCATTCTCTTGGTCTCGTCGAGAACTATGATTTTTGTTTTTGAATCACTCGATTTCGTTGAATATTGACAAAGCTATGAACATTTAAAGTTTGTTCAATCTCCCGGCCGGAATCCGGCCTTCTGAATTGGTTTCGGCAACCCACATAACAAACGGGCCAAAGAACTGGCCCGAGGTAGCCCAGTCCAAACCAAAGCTGAGCCCAACCTAAACCCAATTTCCTAAGCCCAAGCAAATGAAACCCAAACCCATTAGCCTAAAGCCTAAACCCCTAACCTTTTGTCACTTAGGCCTTTGGGCCATTTAGAACTCGAGCCTTAGGCCAATGACCCCCAAATCCCGAACCCTCTTTTATTTATTTATTTATTTATTTATTTTATTGTTTTTCTGGAAACCAAAGGCCATTGGGCCGTGCATTTGGGCCCAGGCCCGTCACTAACCCAGCCCTAAAAACCTTTTTAAATTAGAAACCCTTAAAGCCCAACCCTTTTAAAAGCCTAACCCAAGCCCTTTTTAACCTAGGGCCTTAACCACCAAACCCTTTAACCTTTCAAACCCTAAACCCTAACCGGCCCAAACCCTTTTTTAGAGAATATTCTGTTAGGGAATATTTCATTAGGGAATATTCCGTCGGGGAATATTCTATTGACTTTTATGAAATTTACCTGGGACCCTTCTTAGGGTAATTCAACGTCCTAAATCCATTTTTGACGTTCGTTTTCCCAAATTAAATCGTTTGGATAGAGCTTTATTAATTGTACCCTTTATGTGCTTAGGGGCAATTATCTATGGCATTTCCTTCTTCGCTAGGTTGCATGGCTCTTCGGCGGCTAAGTATCTATGAGTGGACCCCTTCTTAAAATGCATGTTTTAATAGTAGAAATGCATACATGAAAAACATGATTTAATGATTACGTTTTATGAAACGTTTTATGAGATAACATGCTTATTGAGGCTAGTTTGAATTATTACTATTTTTCCTATAATACATGTTATTTATAGAATATCTTATAGATGATGATATAATATTTAGAACATGTTTCGAACACCTCTTTATAGTATAGATGATGGATGACTTTATACTATGAAGTTGCTTTTCAAATATATATATATATATGTTCAATGGTTTTGTACTTACCTAGTGGTCCCTATTCCGCTACGAGACAAGGGATACATTTCGTCCCAGGCGACGGTTACGGTGTTGGCATAGGGCCCGAAGATGGTTTTCCTCTGGCTATTAGCACAGGGACGGGGAGCTAGCATGGGGCCTGGGGGTGATTTTCCTCTGGCAATTGGCACAGAGACTGGGAGTTGGCATGGGGCCTAGAGGGATATTGGACATTCATTAGTGATTACGATATATACGAGATATGTTTTGAGACATTGCACAACATGCTAGGTTTTGGAAAACCTATTTTATTTATCATGATGTATGTGTTTTAATAAAACCTGTGGTTAGCATGTTGATAACTGTTTTATTATATCTATATATATATATATATCAACTGGTCCACTCATGTTTGTTTTGCACCCTCTTCAGGACTAGAATCAAGGCATACAATCCCCGCGTCAAGGCACTTTTGCAGCGGCATCTTCGAGTCCTCTCGGTGTAGGACCCATTCTTTTATTCATTCAATTTTTATATAAATTCTTTTAGTATATATTCTAGATTAGATGTCTGCTCTGAACACGTTCCTGAAATGCATATTCATTATATTTTAAATTTATAAGTCTTATTTATTTCTTGTTCTCTGCATTTGCCTTCAATAAATGGTTTTTGTCACCCTTGGGTGTCGGCCAACTCGTACCTACCCTGATATTTGGGAAATATCAAGATCGGGATGTGTCATCTAATACCAGATGTTAGAACTGAAAAAGAACGCTTGATAAACTCGTAAATGAAGGTCTGTTGCACTTATTATGGGGAGAATTTCTCTTATTGGAATTCAAGAAATCAACGGCATAAATGGCTTTACAAAGAACTAGAATTGAAAGCAAATAGCCCGCGTTTAACAGCCCTAATTACGGGGTACATGACTAAAGTTTAAATCAAAATAAAACTACTTGTCGCTCAAGAATAGGAATTATAAACCACCACTTCAAACAAACCTTGGAAACTAGAAAACCTAACCCTAACACCAGAAAACCCTGACAACTTCAACAATTCAATCATAAAAAGTGTTAAAATATCGAGTCTAATCATCCTCCACGGTCCAATGTCTGTTAAACTCAAATCTCAAACAATATATGTTTTTGCATTAAAAGAAGAAAAAGAACTCAAAACCAAAACCAAGACCTTCCAAAGTTTCAACAGCTAAAATAATAAATAAATAGATAAATAACCGAAACCCGGACGAAATCGCAGCCAACAACGCAGCAGTCGCTGTATACCCACCGAAGTACTTTTACCAAAGGCAACGCGGTACTATTACTAGTCACCTTCAAATCTTCTGTGCCCGCCCAACTATTAGTACAAATGAATGTCACCCTCTAATATCTTGACCTCTGGACACCTATTTAACACGCACCTAACTCCAATGGGGGAGATAATATTAAAGGAAGGAAAAGAAAACACAGACGGTTTCGTCTTCAGTCGGCATCGGTGTCCCCCAGCACTGAAAACTGGGTCGTTATCTCCCAGGACACGGCTACACCAAACATTTGGATCCGGTGGGGAAGGAAACCAAATTCAAACCCTCATTCAGTCTCATCCTTTGGCATATATTATTACACGTGTCTACATGTGTCGACAGATGAACCGTGATGCTTCTCTCCAGCCTCCACCTCAGCTTTGTATTATTACACATGCCGTAACCCCAGAACTTCCTCTAACCCCCAGTATTCGAAGTGCAGCTCCAGCATGTAAAGCTGCTCCAACCCTAGAGAGAAATTCAAGAGAAATTACTTTTACTGGAAATTTAGGAAAAAAAACGAAAGATTAATGGAGTGAAAAATGCAAAGCGGGAAGAACGCGATGGAGTCGATAAAAGAAGCAGCTGCTAATATAGCAGCCTCTGCTAACTCTGGCATGGAAAAGACCAAACCCACCGTGCAAGAAAAGGTTGACATGCATACATACATCATAATTTTTCAGTTGTTTTATTGAGTTTTTAAGTGAATCACTTTGTTCACCACTATAAGATTTGAGCATAATATCGAGAAAATCTTCACGAAGGCTCGTCTCACAGATGCGCCAACTGTGAGATGATGTGACACTTCATTGTAGTAACAAATTAAGTGGCGGAAATTGGACGATACTTTAATTATTCTTTTAATCAAACACCCCATAGCATTTCTTGAACGTTCGAGGCTTCTATCATTTCTGTATGATTTGCTTTCTCGTGTATTACACCTTATTTTTGTTCTTATTTTCTAATGTGATTTTTGCATATATAGGTGGAGAAGATGAAATGCAGCGACCCAATTGAAAAGGACGTGGCGGCCGGAAAGAAAGAGGAGAGAATAGTCGATGCCGAGATCAACAAACGTAATGCCATGGAGCAAAACGCCGCGGCTCGGCGGGATGAGGCAGGGGCTACCGGCTATACTGCGACCGGTGCTGGCACTGGAACACACACGTATTCTACGACTGGGGCCACAGGGCAGCCGACTGGAACTCACCAGATGTCCGCACTACCTGGCCACGGCACCGGTCAGCCTGCGGGCCAAGTGACGGAGGGTGCGGTGGGCGCGCACCCTGTTGGGATCAACACGGGTACGGGTCGGACCACAGCCCACAACACTCGTGTTGGCGGGAATGTACCTAACTATGGGACTGGTGGGACCTATAATTGAGATAGACTCTTTGTTTTTGAATTATGGGCCTTGGTGTGGGCCTAAAAACTTTTTTGTGGGTCAATGTGTAATATGTGGTGTTTTTATAGGTAACGGTTTTGGTGGGTTGAAGTTGTTTATCTTGATATTTGCTTAGTTTTTAGTAGTATAAAATTTGGAGTCTTTGAAGTCACTAATTTTGGTTTATTGATTTTATCATTTTTTGGATCTAGATTATGTGGATAGTAGATTGTATTATTTTCTTTCTGCTCAGAGCGATTTAGAGCGTCCCGTTCCCCCAATATCGAATCTAGATGGAACTATGAAATGCTAAATCAATCCAGTTACAAGCATATCCTGCATAAACAGCCCTAGAAGATGAGTAGATCTAACTGCCTATGTTCCTAAAAACTTCGGATTAATTAAGAAATCATTTGAGCTAATCTTCTGTCAATGCATGTGCCTTATATTTAACATGGGTTCGTAAAGTAATAATGACAGCAAGAGTGGTCTACTTCCCCACCGGAAAATATTTTGATCCAATACTTTTCAAGTCGAATTGAGATATTTTGAAACAAACTTTCAGGGTTGACATAACTGATAATTACTTGTATGATATGATTAATAGCGCCACGATGACGTCTCGTGCTGATAATTTAAGACTTGTATGCTAATAATATGAAGACTTGTGTTAATTTTTTTTTTTTTTTTTCATATGCTTAACGCTATTGTGGCAGTATAATTGTATCATACAAGTTTCTCTTTAATAATTAAGAATGGTGAAAAGTTGAAAACTCACCTGTTTAACATTTTAGTTTCCACTCACTCAGATTTTAAATTAAGTACTTACAATTATTATAGTTAGTTTATTGTGTAATTGAACTCAAATTTCCTAATTTGTGGGTTGTTTAATAAGTGGTGGCAGAGTGAAGTGTGACAAAAGCCATACATTTGCTTGGTAGGTGGTTGGCACCTCTTTTATTGATATAGCTTTATTAAGAGCTTACAAAACTTTTTCTCAACCATCTTCCGAAAAGGGATGCAGCTATGTTGAAGGGACAATTATTTCAGTTGCAAACATATTTCAGCGGAATTAAATATATGACAATCTATTATCATTTTTCGCATGCCTCAAGAATTTTAGAGTAGGTACAAATTCTCCCAATTTATGTAATTGAAAGGATCCTCTGATCAATCCAGAGATCATTTCGATTTCATTAGTAATGAGGATTCAGAATATCACACATTGATCAATCAAAGAAATATTCAACAACTAAAAGTGCACCATTTTGATATGGCAGTTGAAAATAGATCTAGAGAGTTGCTCACTCCAACAAGCCTAGGTGGACTTTGTCTAGCTCAAACTAGCCAAGACTTCTATTCCGGGTAGTGTTTTGTATAGTCCTTTACTCTTTACAAACCTCTGACTCGTTCATTCACTCCGAGATGTTTGTGTTCAATATTCTCCCTCAATTAGGGCGAGAGTTTATGCAAAGACAATGTTGAAGACAATTCCAAATGCCCTCAAACAGAGGCCACTAAACAAGTAAAGGACAATGGGCAATATTTGTGGATCGGGAAGATCAACTTTCATTCAAGGAAGCGAACCATTGACGACAGCAAGCTGGGAATGACAGATGCTCCTAAAAAACTGATTATCGCATGTTTTTAGAGGCCGTACTTGACCCATCCGGCCCCTTAAACTCGCAACTTCACAAATAAAGTAGTTTAGGTTGAGTTTTCCTTCTGTGTTTTGGGAGCTAGCATGTCGATGATGGCCTTTATTTTCATGGTCTACTTCTTACAAATGAAAGTAAATTGTGGTTAATACAAAAAGAGAGGAGATTTGTATTTGATGTTTTGGGCTTAGGAGGAATTTTCTTCACATGGACTGTCCTTATATGTTATAGAAAGTTTGAACGGCTTTTTAGTCAAAATAATCTTGGAAATTGGCATAACTTCTAACTTTGGTCTTTAAGATTTAAAATCAATAGAAGTGGTTCATAAGCTTATCCACTATCAATCATTTTGTTCATTCCGTAAAAATTCATTAAATTGAGTTTGTCCTGCATCAAGTGAAGTGGTTGATTTGACAAAAGTTCTCTCAATTTAATTGTGATTTGTCACGGAATAACCAAAATAATTAACAGTGAACAAACTAAGGAACTATTTGTATCAATTTTAAATGTCAGAGACAAAATAAAGAAATATGCTAATCTCAGTGACTATTTAAGCTATATATCTTTATTTGTAAAAATAATTAATGTTAATACAACTTCTTTTTTTTTGTCATTTTAGAATAAGATGTTATTCGACCTCTAAGACATTTCACGAATAAATGAAAAATAATATTACTAACACATAGTACTAAGAAGTAATGGTTATGATAATTGTGTTTGTAGAAGAGTACAAATAGTTCGTCGAGGAATTACTAGCATAAATTACAACTACAATAAGGTACTTGTGATAAAACTATCATACATATTGTACTTGATATGTAGTAAGGTACAAGTCTGAGACAAAAAACTGTCGTGCTAATAGCAAACTATTGGTCCTTCTCTGGAATCTTTACAGAATTAGAAACTTGAGAAATATACATCAGCTTAGTTTATGACTTAAGCATCTTCAATGATGTAGGCAAACAAAATAGGACATGGTAAGTTGATCACTCAATTGTCTTATAGAAAAAGTCTTGCTTTAATGGAATAGGTAAACCGAGTAGGCAAAATTTTATTTTATTATTTTATTTTTGTCTTCTATTATAAATTAAAACGTGGAGCCGATTTGCCTATAATGTTGAAAGTATTGTCAAAATTTGCTTACCCAGTTGACTACACCATTAGAGTATGCTTTTACCTATGTGACTCATTAAAATAGGTTTGCCTACTTCATTAGAGATGGTTATTAAATCGAATACACGTATCATTGTCATAGTAACTTGATGATGATAGATTTTTTTTTTTTCGTGAATAAAAGTTTAGGGGGAGATCTACTCTCACCACTAGCGTAAAAGCATACCCCACAACCTCAAGTAGGTAGGACTTACGCGTGACATCTAACTGTCAGCTGTCACTGTTATGAAATAAAAGATTTATCAGTGTGGTGGAAACACGACCTAATACACCAAGTGTTTCAAGCAATAAAATTATTACACTTAGTATACCGAATCGTGGTGTTTGCATACCAAAAAGTTTATCCTTGATGATGGTGGGGGTTCTTTTTCGTGGTTTTCATGAAAGAGCATTTATTCTTAAAAAGAGTTTTTATTCTCTTCTTTACTTACATTAAACCAATGATTATAATTCATTTAGTATAGAGTGGTCAAGTTGTCAGAAGTACTAAATCGCTAATACATAAGTCATAGTGGTACAACTTTTGCCTTCTTCTAGTGACGTCCTCAAATATTCTTGGGAAATGCTTCAAAACAAGACAATTTTTTAATCTTGGAACAGAAATAGAACAAATCAGCCATGCACATCATGCACAAAACCAAAATTACTAAAATACCCACATATAAATACTAAAAATCATCAACCCATTGCATCATTGTTCTCATTTGGAAGAGAAGGATGTCGAGAAAGCTTCGTGAGCTCTGGGTTTTTAGGTTGAGCTTTGATTTCGAAGAGATGGAAGTCCAAAGAGAGGCGAGAAGAGTGAGCTAGGTTTTGGGTTGACCTCATGCCTCTAATTTCGAACAAAGGGATACGAGAGAGAGGTGAGAATAGTGAGCTTGTTTTTGTTCCATATTTTCTGTTTTGGCTGGAAAGTTCCATTTTTTCCAGCGACTAAGGCTTCGGTAGGTATAGAAAGGTAGGGTGTTTAGTTTCAAGTTCATTCATCATGATTTATGGAATAAATGGGTTGTTTGTAAGATGAATTAATACTTAGAAGTTAAATTAGGATTTGTGTTTCATGTTAGGGCATATAGGTTGTGGAATAAATTTCAAGTTTTGATGTGCTACAAAACTGGGATGGAATGATTTCTAGTTCAAGTGTTCAATTGTAGAAATTGATGAAATTTTTTCCGTAATGTGCATATGGTGTGCATGGCTACATCTTAATATGAGAAATAGGAATGTTCACCAATTATAATGCATGTATGTTGGCCCCGGAATTTAGCGAGTATGACCACAACTTAGTTGGCCTCAACGAAAAACAAAATTAAGAAAAAGCTTAGAGGACATTAAGGGTCATGAGTGTCCATGAAATAACGACAACGAGTATCATGTTTTCCATGTGCACGGTTAAGCGGTGGTTAATATACGTAACAAGACTTTTCAAACTATCACTATAACCTTATTTACATAACAATTATGTTTTAATTGTATCCACTATACCAATATGTTATTGTTAAAGTTTCTCCCGTTCTGTGCATATCACGTGCATGTATTGTACATATTGTATGCATGTGGTGCACATATAGTGCATATGGTGCGTATTTACATCTTTGATATTTTTTGCATTAATGTAGTTTACTATTTTTTCCTTTGATTTAGAAGCAGGCCCTGCAAATACGAAAATAGCGAACGAGTTCGTAAAACAATTTCCTTTGATTCAATTGGGTTCTTTCGTGCCCATTCAAATTGGCAATTTCAAATCCTTGAAATATTTGAATCCAATCAAATTTGATACCAAATTCAAATGAATGAATCTTCGATTCTTCATATAAAGTTTAGGATCATTTATCTGATTGCGTTATTTTTCTAATTTCGAAGAGAGAGTTGTGAGCTATGGGTTTTTGGGTTAGATCTATGAGCATAACATGTGCATGTCGTTTACATATCGTGTACATACAATGTATGAGCGAGCTTAATACGAAGAAAGTGAACGAGTACATGAAACAATTTCGTCTATATCCTTCTCTCTTCCTTCTTTCCACTCTGATTTTGCTCTTTTCCCTCAAATTTATCTCTTCTCCATAAGACAACTGACATTTAATACGTTTTTTCCTTTAATTGCAACAAAAGCCAAACCCTATTTTAGTGCTTGTAAATTTGGATCAAAAGAGGGGAGCAGAGGGAGGGAGAAGACAAAAGAAATGAAAACCCACATATAAATCAAAGAAATGATAAAATAAAAAAACAAAAACAAAATTGAAGAATTTGGGTCTCCTCCAAGAAACACCAAACCAATCACTTCAACTCCAAAAACCCATCAATCAAAAAGTCAAATTAAGCAAACTCAGTTCACAAAACCTACAAATGAAAAGGTAAAAATCGACGATGGGTGGGTTAAAGAGAGAGCTCTTGTGCATATTCAAAATGTAGAGAGAGAGAGAGAGAGAGAGAGAGAGAGAGAGAGAGAGAGAGAGAGAGAACTTGGATGAAGAAGATGGGTGTGGGTGTGGGTTAGAGAGAGCTCTTGGATGAAGAAGATGGGTGGGTTAGAATTCTTTCGAACTGGAATTGGGCGAGAGAAGAGATTTTTTCTCTCTCCTCCCTGTTTCTCTCTACAAAATGAGAAATAAGGGTTGAAATTTTTTAATAACCTATTTATATAAGAGGACAATTTGGTCATTCAAGGTGTAAGAAAAATCTTATTTTTGTCCGATTGTTGTGCACGCCATATGCCTATTCAAAATGTCCTATTTATGTCCCAAAATTAAGAAATTGTTCTATTTATGAGTATTTCCCTATGTTCTTTTGGTGGTCTTTGGTAGGCTTTTTGATCTTGTTGCCCGTCCCCACGATCATACCTAAGATTGCTGAGCTACAAGCTTATAATCTCTCATTTTCGGAATCGAATAAATTGGATAAATCAAATGAAAATCGAACCACAAATCAAATGAAAATCGAATCACCATGATACAAGTCATTTTCATTCACTTAGTGGCTTGCTTTGTAGCAAAGCTTCTCTTTTACTTTCCAAGCCAATGAAACACGACTAAAATCCTATCACCTTCTTCAAATCATATCAAAATTACCAACATTTTTGGACCCAAAAAAGGTTCCTTTAACCGAGTTTTAACATGAGCAAAATGTCAAGCACAATAAGTAAAAACTTATGCCTACAAAGCTACACTAGCAGTAAGCGCCACCAAATGCTCACAAAAACAATGATATCATAATCTTGTTAATTCCTCTAGGTAGCATCGCACATCAACAAATCAAAACCGCTCTCCCACTAGTACAAGATTCTGACTGCAAGAAAAAGAATTTCAAAGAGCACTCACACTCCAGACTTCCGCAATTCAGCAGCCCCGTGTGCAAAGTGACATCTTTCTCCAAAGGTGCAAGTCCCTTTGGTAAAATTATCACACAGTTTCGTCTTAAAGTTACTTCCTGGAGGGGCTGGGGCTCCTGGGCCTCCTCCTCCCGGAGCCTTACCAGGGCCAGAGTTTGAAACAGTCGCAATTAGCTCACTCACCATGGCACTAGCTTGCTGAATCTGTTCAAAGGTCCCCTCCAGTTCAATGTTCCTGAGATTGGGATTTGACTCATGGTCCCGGATTGAAAGTTTGGCTCCTGTCTGGCGACAAATCTGCTTCGAATGTACACCTCCCTTCCCAATAATGGCTCCTGCAAGTGATGCATCCACACTGATTTTTGCAGTAGATGAGGCACCAAAGCTAGATGCTGGGCGTGCCGGGTGTGGCTCCATCCAATTACCCATACGGCCTGGACCAGGTCCCATGGCATGAGGATCATCGTGGGACTGAGCAAGAGGCTTGCCAAGTTCCCACTCACCATGAGCAAAATGACATTTGTCACCAAATTTGCAGCCTTCAGCAGAATTATATTTATTGCATATGCGCGATTTAACTCCAGATGAATTGGACCCATTGGAATGGGATGGTGGGCCAGGAATGTTCCTAGGTGGCGGAGGGGCAGGCGCAAGATTCATCATCTGAGCCACGGCATTGTAACCTCCAGGAACATAGTGCAGGAAGTGGCAACTCTCGCCAAAAGGACAGCCAGCAGTGCTGCAATGAGAATCATGGAGTTCTCTAATCAGATGATTGTAAACAATTCAATTACTATTCTCTACAAACACACATGATTGCTCAGGCCAACAGTGGTCACTCAAATTGAAGATAAGAAATAAGATTTCACGGTATAAAAGTTCTTCCTAGAATTGTCAAGGACTGACACAGTATCACTATACAGGTAAATATGAATTCACACAGTTTTAGATGACTGAAAATAGTGCACCACAAAAATCTCAAATACACCCTCCATTTGCACAAAAAATTCAATCTAGATTCATACAAGACAACTTCAGGAACACATATACATATTGATTCTAAGATGAATTATTTGTCGAAACTCGTGAATTGCAGGCACACATAAGATGATTTTGATTTACAAAATCTGGTTCCTAGATTCTTGAGTATTATTTAACTGATTAATAAAATTTACGGCTACGATTACAAATCGTTTCAGAATAATAGCAAGGCAACATAAACTACTTGCAAGAATCATATAATTCAAACTCAGTACCTATAACTGAGATAAAAAAAGACAGTTACTAAAAGACCCGAGACTCTGTAAGACCGTAAAGAGCCCTGATCAACCTTCCCACCATTCCCATTGTAAAGGCACAAAGATCAAGATAAAAGAAAGAAAAGCCTCTCCGTAGAAAGTATGATTTGAAGCTAATATCGAAAGAAATTTTTTTTCCTCGGACAAGTGCCTCATATCAATGTGACTGAAATATGTTATTTATGAGCTAAGTTTTCTATGAGATAGGAAGAGAATACATTGTCATATCTAACCAATGTTGCCGTCAAGAGCTTAAACAAAAGGTATGGGAAATTAACTCTCAATTTAGCAGAAAAGGGTTGGTACAAGTTATGATATTTGATTTGTACGGTACAACAACTTAGAAAATTTACTAAAATCCAGAAAATGTATCATTAGTTTATATCTTACCAAATGTTTGAGAAAAACTGGGAACATTAATTGAGCTACAAGATACAATACAAATCATTTACATGCAATGCTCAATCTCACTATATTTTCATAAGCGCGGAATTTGGTCTAGTGAATGGTTATAAATGTATTTCATAAATATATCAGTTTTCTGTTACATGGAATTTGTCAACTTCATTAGACCAAAGCAAAGTATGTACCTGTATAACAACTATGAACTCCCATTTCATTAGTGCAATTATAAGATTTCATTTTGTAAAAGCTTATAACTACCTCAAAACGGATAAGATAAATTTCATGATATTTACTTAGATGAGAAAGATTTGAACCTGAAAAATTTGGTGCATGGCTTCGATTTGCTTCCTACACCGGTTGAAAAGGACTCCAATTCTGTTACAAAACATTAATTACTTTATCTCAGTTACATTTTCTCCTGATCTTTAATCCAATTGTTGTAGAGCATCTCAAACTCATTTGAACCAAAGCGATACAAATATTAGCAAAATTAGTTTTACCTGTATAATCCTAGTCCAAATAATCCAAGTGCAACATGATGTTTATGTAACTACATTAACCATCAAATTCTAGACGATTATTATTTTGTATTAAGCATGTTTAACTTACGTAAATGACCTTGTGCACATCCAAAGCAACTTCATTTGAAGGACACAAACTTGGGAGATTGCAAAAGAACACAAACTAACTAAAACATGAAAATTCAGAAATTACCAAAATTTAAGCAAAAACCAGAAACAATTTCACAATATCACATCAGCAGAACATACCACACACTCTAAATCTGAATACATACTGATAAACCCAAGTTGCAAAAAGAAATAACACTCTAGTAAATCAGGAATTTTTATACAGCAAAGAGAAGTTCAAGCTTCAGAAACTTTCTCAGCAACCAAACAGAAAAAAAAATAGTAGAAAAACTACAGAAAAAAAAAACAGAAAAAAGCAACAAAAAAACAGTAGATTCACCAAATTCACAAGAAACAGAGTGAGAGAAAGCAAAGAGCGAACCTTGCTTGTTCTTCTTGAAGCCGCCATTAGAGTGAAAGCCGCCACCTTCATGCCGCCCTCTTTTACGAGTATCCATTACTTCAGAACCCAGATCGAGATCCAAAACGAATCCAAACCACTACAAAACGACAACGGAGAAAGCACAGAAACGATGAAAGAATCCCTAATTTGGTGGTACAGAGATCCCTAGGGAGAGGATTAGTGATGAAGGGGGACACAGAGAGGCAAACCCTAGCCCAAACCCTAACCCTAGAAGAAGGGTTTTGGAAGAGGAAGAGCAGCAGCTGCTGGAAGGATAAAAGAAAGCGGCTTCCAAAACGAGAGTGGGAAAGTCCAGAGCTTTCGGATATTATTTATTATATTATCAACTATTTATTTTTATTTTAAAAAGTCAGGAAATTACACTAATAAATACTGTTATTTGATAATCTAGATTACCATAAAATAATTCTAATTGTCGTTAAAAGAAGGTGATATGACTAAATTAATTCAACAAAATTAAGTAAAATGGCCAAACTAAAAGTTTTGGGCGATATAGTAAATTAAACAATAATTTTACTGTTTTTTTAAGTCTTATAACTCATTAGCCCTATTTTTTCATTCACGTTTTTCTTCCAAATAGAATAAAATTTTAGTGACAAAATAGTTATCTAGATCAATCTCTACAGAAATGATAATCTCTTCAACGACGAAAATAGTTTGAAGATTGTCACGAAAAAGCATTTGTGACTATTTTACATTTCTCCTGTTATAAATTTTTATTTTCAAAATTTTAAGTAAGCAGCATGTGTACAATTGCTTGTAATTAATTAATAGGGTAAAGTACAAAAAACTACCTCAAATATTGGGGTCACGACAGTTTCATACCTCATCTTTTAAAATTGACAATATAATACCGCATCTTACGAATTTGTGACAATGTCATACCTCCGTCAATTTTTCTGTTAGTTTTTCTGTTAAGTGCTGACGTGGCAAGAGACGGGGACCACTCACTAATTCAGCTGGATTAAAAAATAATTAAATATTAAAAAATTAAGAATAAAAAAACAAAAAAAAATATTTCAGGGGTGCGGCATCCCCTTTCCTTCACCCGCACCAATTTCAGTTTTTTTTGTTCTTCTCTCTCCTCCTCCTTCTTCATCTTCATCTTCATCTTCTTCTCCTGGGGCGAAACTGGATTTGTCACTTTTTTTTTTTTTTCCTTCTTCTTCTTCTTCTTCTTCTTCTTCTTCTTCTTCTTCTTCTTCTGGGCCAAAACTGGGTATGAATTTTTTTTTCTTTTTGTTTTTTTTTTTTGGTTCCTGGGTTGCAGGTAGAGGGAAAAGGGGTAGAAGATGAAGATGAGCGTGGGGGGGGGGGGGGGGGGGGGGGGGGGGGGGGGGGGGGGGGGGGGGGGGGGGGGGGGGGTGGGGACCGAATTGGGTTGGGTTGGGGTTTTTTTTTTTTTTTTCTTTTCTCCTTCTTCTTCTTCTTCTTCTTCCGTAGGAGGGCGTGTTTTAATTTTTTTTTTCTTTCTTCTTCTTCTTCCTTCTTCCTTCTTCTGGGTTGCAGTTTGGGGTTTTTTTTTTTTTTCTCTCCTCCTCCTCCTCTTCTTCCTCTTCACCTCCTTCTTCTTCTTCTTCTTCTTCCGCAAGCGGGCCGGGAGGGGGGTTGAGTTGATGGCTTTTCTTCTTCCTCTTCCTCCTTCTCCTTCTTCTTCTCCTTCTTCTTCCTCCTTCTCCTCCTTCTTCTTCTTCTTATTCTTCTTCTTCTTCTTCCTTTTTCTTCTGGGTTTTTTTTTTTCTAGTTTGCAGTTTCCATTTCTTTTGTTTTTTCCTCGTCTTCTTCTTCCTCCTCCTCTTCTTCTTCTTCGGTTCTTCCTCCTTCTCCTCTTCTTGGGGGGGGGGGGGGGCGGCGGGTGGGGTTTTCAAATTTTATTTTTTTTTTGGTGTTAAAGATTAAGGAGGAAGAAGATGAAGATGGGGAAGAGAGAAAGAGGGGGGAAGGGACGACAAAGGTTTTTTTTTATTTTTATATTTTAAAAATATTAAATATTTTTTTTAGTTTTTAATAATTTTTTGATAGAAAGTGGGCTTCGAATCAAGCCACGTCAGCACTTAACAGAAAAATTAACAGAAAAATTGACGGAGGTTTGACATTGTCACAAATTCGTAAGATGAGGTATGATATTGTCAATTTTAAAAGATGAGGTATGAAAGTGTTGTGACACTAATAGTTGAGGTAGTTTTTTGTACTTTACCCTAATTAATAAATCATATCCATTTAATACTACAGTCTAGTGGTATTCCTCTTCATTTGAAAGTGAGATGTCTTAGATTTGATTATCGCCAAATGCGAATTTGAACCATATTATTGCTAACTCATTGTGAGGTTAAGCCCACCCCTCCCCCTTAGTATAGATAATATCATTTGTTAAAAAAAATAATAATAAATCATATGTACTAATTGATATGGTTGGTTTTTTTTTTTTTTTTTTTTTTGTGGAAATAATTGAAGATTTTTAAAATTAGGGATTCAAAGCGGTTAAATTTTGGGGGGTTGGGTTCCGCTTGTTGCCGCCAATGTGCTGGGTTGCTGACGTAGGCTCAATCTAATTTCTTACCTGTTTTTTGTTTTTATTATATAAAATATAATTTTTATTAAGAAAATAATATTTGGCTGACTATTTTTTCTAAATCATGAATTTTCTAATATTCTCCATTGATTTATGTTACTGACTATTTTACTTTGTTTTTTACATGGATTATTTTTACTCTCTCACACTTTATTTTTTTCTCATGTGTACTTTGTTTATTTATGTTTTTAATTATTAAATTAAAATGTAAAAAATAGTGTGAGAATTGCTTAAGTAAAATAGTAAAAGCTAATGTAGTAACAGAAGTTACTTGAGCTTAGGAGGCATGATTGGGCTAAAAATATTACAGTTGAAGGCCCAACGTATCCGTAGCCACACGGCCTAATAGTAGAAAAAGCCCACCTTCCAAATTGCCTTCAGCATGAAAAGCCCAACGCATCCATCCATGAGTTATTTGTTCATAGGCAAGTCTTCACTGTCAAAAACTACATTAATGAACAACAATGCTCCCCTATGGTCCTCTTTTATATTAGTTATAGGATTAATCTAATGGTAGAAAAACTATTGAGTTTATATAATTCTATTACACTAAAACAAAATCAAAACACCAAAAAAATTAAAAATAGGGTTCACGCTTAAATTTTCGACGTTGAAGGAGAGCAACGAGACCCGATTTCACAGTGCCCTCGGAAAATTAAAATTTTCTTCAAAGCTACAAAAAGGTATTTCCTTTGTGGTTGAATTGATTTCAATGTCTCCCAATTTCTCCCTCTTCGCTGTTGAAAAAAAAAAGTAGAATGGAAACTGTAATTTAATCGAGAGAACCATTCTTCTTTTAATTGGGTTTCATCTAATGCTCTCCTAATAGCACCATTCTATTTTATATTCCTTTGTGGTGATGGTTCAGCCTCTACTCCATTCTTCCTTTTTTTTTTTTTGCTTCACTTTTAATTTTAATTGCAGATTGTTGTATGATGGAAGAACAATCTTCCCAGAGACGATCTCAAACTGTTAGCAATGATCTTCAAGTGTGGGAGCATAGCAGTAGAGAGGGAGGGTCGGGACGACATCCTTGACAAAAGATTTCCTCTGAGATTGAATGGGTTGCAATTTTGCTCCTCTCTCACGAAGCAGGAAGGAAGGATAAGCGTGAAGCCTATTAGCATGTTTTGATTTTGTTTAGGTGTAATAGGTTTATATAAACTCATAAATTTTTGTACCATAAGATTAATCCTATGACTCATATAAAAGAGGTCCTTACAGGTCCTCAGAAAAAGGACCTTAGGAGAGCATTGTTGCATTAATGAAACCTTCTTTTTTCAACCAAAAGATGATGAAAATACATTTTTTATTTTTTATCACAACAACAAAAATTAAGGACAGTAACGTAACTTCACAAAATAAAATTTTGCTTTTTTTTTTTAAACCTCACCTACATGTAAGTTTATGATCTCTAATTTAAGGAAAAAAAAAAAAAAAAACCTCTCTCCCTCCCTCCTCAATTCTCTCTCTCTCTTCCTCTCTCTCCTTCAATTTTAACAACCAAACTAAAAAAATTCACATACTTTATGTGTGGGCATATACTAGTATATCTATATAACATTGCTAATAATTTAACTCTATGTGTAATTGCCCTTTAAAAAAAATATAACAAGAATAAAGTTGTAAAATTAAATAATTCAATAATAACCAATCATACCGCATAGAAATTATATGAGAAAATCAATTGGCGCCCTTCATCACCCCTGACGTTGAAATCGATATGAAAAAAGTACGTGCCAAAAGACTAATATCTAAAACTACATTAATAAAATCCCTTTTGTTAACCAAAAAAGTGTAAACGAACAATTTGTCTTCTTCCACAAAACAAAATCATGAGTAATAAAGTAAATTCACACAAACTAAATTTTACCCTTTTTTAAAAGCCTAACCCAAGGATGATCCTAACATCCTCTAATTTTTTAAAAATAAAATATAAAAAAGAAACTTCTCTATAATCATATTCCTTATTTCACCCTTTCTCCTTCCCATTTTAAAAAGAAAACAAAAATTATTTTCCCATACAATGTGGGGGGCATATAATAGTAAATAAATAAGGGAAGTGTCACCAATTTTCAATTTTCACATGCTTTTCTTAATTTTCGGCTGATCGAATCGAAATTTACAAATATAAATAACAAAAAATTAACAAAGGTGTGTGGGAGGTAAGTAAAAGAGTATGAATAGCACTCTCCATAAATAAATATTCTTTTTTTAACTGTAAGTATTTTAGTCATTTAGTACTAGTATTTAGTCGTATTCGTCTTCACTTGTAAGTGAGAGGTTTTAAGTTCAATTCTCACCAAAGACAAATTTGAACCACATTATTGCTAACCCATAGTAAGGCTACGCCTGACCCTTCTCTCTTAGTATAGATAATAATAAGTAAAAAAACAAAAACTATAAGTATTTTACTTTAGAGGAGATTAATGTTAAGCAACACAAACTTGATTAGCCATAAAAGTTAAGGTACTGAACCCGTCATTCATGTGAGTCGAGTTTTAAACATTCAACTTACAAGTATAGAGAAATACTATTATATTACTTGTGGCGCACCATCAAGATGTTTTTATGAAGTGAAAGGCAAACTAAAATTGTCAATTAGAAGTGCAAGAGGCTTTTAATGTAGGTGGTTATATAATTTATGTTCGAGTCTCCCTTTCTTAGCATTGCTTATTCAAAATTTGAAAAACAAGAAAATAAGAAAAGGTTATTCTTTTACTAAT